GGTGGTAAAAAAAAAAAAAAAAAAAGGGCGGAAAAGTGTGGAAGTGTAAAGGCAGAAAAATACAAGAAGAATGTCCTTGAACCGTAGCACCGTGGACAATGTCGTTTACGATGCCGATGATCAAGTCAGTCCGATGGTGTACGTCGCTGCAGCGATCGCATTGGGATTTATCGGATTTTTTGGTTTCACCATGAATCTTCTGGTGGCGATCGTGATCGTCAAGGACGCGCAGATACTGTGGACACCCGTCAACGTGATCCTGGTTAATCTTGTCGTAAGACATCAAATAATAGTTCTTGAAACGATATTAGCTGATTTTATAACGTTTTTCATACTGGTTTTTGAAGTTTGCGAGCGATGATTTATAGATGTTGAAATGATCTTAGTTTAGTAAATTCATTTTGGAATGAGTAAGAATATTAATTGATTCGATATTTAGAAATTATTTCTTCATAATTACAGTCGACAGATATCTGCTATTTTTTCCAAAATTGTATTGTGGTAAAATCAATATAAATCAATTTTTTTAATTCTTCAAAACCTGTATCCTCTTGCATAATAATTTACTGGTAATATTACCAAATTTACAAGTTATAAATTGTAGATTATACACATCTGCTTTATAATTTTATAATCTTATATAGAATAATCAAATAATTCGTAATTTGTAAAGTTTACTCGTAAAATTTTATTTGTTTTTTGTTTAAATGAGAGAGGATAATATCGTTAAAGGTATTTATGTGAAATCTTCTCAGTCGTATAATTCGCATAGGAGATGTTAAGGTTCGTGGATGCGAATAATTTATACGTCTGTATATCGCGCCTCTATGCAACTCTTTAGCGTGGTGCTAAGTAGACGTATTAGTTACACTCTACGTTACTCACATAGAAACTGTGTCATTCGATATTATGCAAATGAATCGTTTACTTTTCTCTTCCATGGGAAACTAGATATACCTATAACTTGATTGGATTTTTATAATTTAAAAACCAATCAAGTTATTATCCAGTTATTGGAATTGTCGTAAATTTGATTACTTTTATGAAATTCCATCTTCTGACTAATTGGTAAGTGAAGATTCAGTTGATTGAAAATTCTAATCGGAAAATCTGTGGAATAAATTTATTTTCTATTGTTTTAGTTCAGATTTTTATTAAAAATATTAAAATCGATTCTCGCCACATCTATTTACTCCATTAATTTAATCGAAGCTTCGCGTACATTAATTTTCCACCGTATAATTGATGCTCTCAGCTCTTTCATTTTCAATTGTAACGTTGAAGAATGCTATCCTTTCAATTAATTTTATTACAGAATTATCAACGCATCATCGATTTATATCTCTGCTGAATTTTGTAAGAACGTTCCATACAATCATGATTCCATTCCCGGGGATGAGGCTAGAGAAGAGGATGAAAGCTCTGAAATTCGAGGAATTATAGTTGAAGAAGATGGAGTTGCGCGTACTCTAGCAACGAAAGCGACTAGAAGAAATTCTTCTAGAAAGCAGAATCGACCTTAGAGTACTAAGTCGATAAAATTCGTGGAGCTTTCACGGCAGGCTTTCGTGTTATCACACCTTTAACTTTGATTTTTTTTTTATGATACAATTATTCGGCGAACTGGAGATACGAAACGATCGAAAAAAATATAGGAGAGTGTGAATATTTATAAAGTTGCGAACTTCACTAAAGTTGGAATCTACCGCAACAGAACGGTATTTTTCCGCGTCGTTTGCGTCAATCAATCCTCTAATGGCACCCTCGTAGCACCGTGTTTTCATCGAATATCACCGAAAATATTCCCATTGTGGAATTGAATACGAGTGTTGAATGGAAATTGAAAAATTGCGAAAATTCTCTGATCGTTTTGTTTTTTCTTTTATTTCGTTTTATGTGATAATTGTTTTGCACATCTGTTCCTTTCCGTCTGAGTAAAGACTCAACGTGAATAATTTAAGGACAATTTTTACTTCAGGTTGGCGATTTCCTGGTGGCTGCGTTTGGAAATCCTGTTGCGATGGTTTCTGCTATCACAGGCGGATGGTACTGGGGCTACAAAATGTGCCTCTGGTATAATTTATCGTTTATTAAACGTAATCGCATGAAACTTCTCCGAGGCATATCAACTACATACGAGACGATATTCCCTTTCATCCTGAACGAATGTAATCTTCCTATTATTCCCTTTTCTTACTCGCTTTCGTTGTAATCGCGGTGCACATCGTGGTTTCTCGCGGTAGAGAATAATTGAATCTCGGATAAATGTAATCTTCTTGCTGCCGTTTAAAGCGGCTGACTCCAACGAACGGAAAGAAACTCAGGCAACTTTTACTGAAAATTAATGGCTGAGCAGAATTGTTTTCCCCACGGCTTACAGTTGAAAATTAAAGACAAACGTGAAAATGTCTGATAAAGCATTCGCATTACAGCATTGCGATTAGTTTACGCTGTCTCGACTTACGCTATAATTAGTTTACACCATCGATATCGGCTATTTACGGAATACGGTAAAATTTCTTGTTATGTGGAATGGCAACGACACTCCGTGATCCTTGGTGAAAGGAAAAATTGAATTCTTCGTCGTGACAGATCTAACGCTACTGCGTCAGTATTGGTAGGCATGTACGTACAGAGCGAATTGTGTCATTTTTTTTAACGAGCTTGTAAAGCAACATACGTAAGCTACAAAAGCTACCATTGAAAGGGGAAGGTTTTTCTGGAAATAGAACAGCCGAAACACGGCCAACGAAACCAGCCCTTCTCTGCTCTCTTCTATTCCGTCTCCATTGGGAGCGTGATTACTTTACAACGTTAAAATTCCAGCCAATGCTGGTATTTAATTATGAAGATTTCACAAATGAATAACTCGCTTTCATCTTCTTAACTTATTTCATTCAAATATTTCTCTACGTTTATTTGAAAGTTTTGTTCACTGATTCTCTATGATACAGCACTTTTTTTTTTATACAAAATACAGAATAATCGTTCACAAGAATTAGAATAACCAAGGAAAACGAAGTAGGAAGTACTATTTATGTTACTATGATACTTATGTTCCAGATGAAACTTCCAAGAACAAACGCAATGTGTGAATGTTGTGACATTCCCTGTCATGCACGTTTCGCTCGTAGAATTTCAATAGCACGAACAGAAAATCCATTTATTTAATACGTTAATGCTCGTTATCGGCACGAATGTAATTATTCAGGAGCGTGCGCCAATGAAGATGCGGTTCGTTAAACGTAATTATCGTAAGATAATTCTGCAAAACTTTAGTCTGTTCAAGTTCTTTTCTGTTTAAAAAAATTATCGCCTATTTCATTTGGTTAACTTTTATCTTCTTCCAAGTAAGTACTTATCGACTGGCCCATCATTTCAGTTGCTGGTTATTTCATTTTCGTTTCCTCTCGTTAATTCTGTAATTCCTTTAATTCAGCGACTGTTTTCAGCGTTATTTTTCTATATTTTTATATCTTTGAATATAGCTATTACTATTGCGATATAATCAATTTTATATATATAAATATCTTAATACATGTATACTTATCACCAGCATAAATGTGGGATATAAGATAAAACGAAGTATTTTCGAGCTCAAATCGTCGAGACTTGAAAGTAGTTAATAAAGGAACGTAAAAGCGAGCCGAGTATCTTTTATGAATTATTTTTGCCTTCATTTTGTCACAAAATTTGACGAATTTCCTCGTTAACGGAACGTATAATTATCCCTGGAACTAATAATTCTTTAGGATTCGTAGAATGGACGAGTTTCGTTATAACGAGATGAAACGTTCGCTCTGTCACGGTCTCGTAAAATCCTGTGTCTCTTTCAGGTCATTAAATATGGTGTCGAGACGACGAAATTAAGAGAAAGTATCTGGCGCACGGTGTACCTACCGCAAAGTGGAGTTTCGTGGTTTGCCATCGTTTAAACGTTCAACAAACCTTCGAAGAATTCTTCGTGGACACCGCAAATGATAAAAGCAAACAATGTTACGTCTAAGTCCGAGAGAGAATTGGGAATAAACGGATATTTCTAGTGAAAAGTTGAGAAATGTAAATCGACACGATTGCAATCGAAAATTGACGTCGTCGTACAGGATGTCCCAGTTCCTCTCTCTAAAACTATACTGGCATATTTTATAAATAAAAGTTTAAAGATATAGCCTTCGGTCAAATATAAGTTCACAAAAAGTTCATAGAAAAATTATAATTTAAAATAAAACTGGTTACAATAATTATTCTTGTATCTTACTGCTTTTTGATGATACTTTTGTATCTGATAGAATCGTAACTTTAAAGTTTCATTGATCTTACTAATGGTTTATTGCAATAATATATTATTCTGATTGTGATAACGCGATAATTTATAAAAATTTCAAGTTCCCATGATACTTATAGAATAAAATATGCCAGAGATCGCAGGTCGAAATCAAATCTAACAATTTTCAGAAATTTCATTAATCTCTCGCCCAATTTCTCCTGCCTAGAATGATTAATATTAACCAAAAATCTTTGGCTTGTTACAATTCCATTGAAACAATGTTTTTCTTTTTTTGTTTTTCAAAGCTACGCTTGGTTCATGTCCACTCTGGGGTTCGCCAGTATCGGCAACCTGACAGTAATGGCTGTTGAAAGGTGGTTACTGGTAGCCAGACCGATGAAAGCTCTGTCCATAAGGTGAGAATGATTCCATTTACTTTTACTTTATTTGGCAGGCAAAGATGTTTCGAAAGAACTGTGAATATATTTCGTCAAGGTGAAGAAAAATGGCCTTGACTTTGTCGGTCGAATCGCGGAGCAACACGACGGACGTTCCGCTCCGAAAATCTCAACTCGTCGCGACACACGTGTACGTGAACAATGTAGAGAAAAAGTGGATCGTAACACTCGATCCTGCATAATACACGATGTTTTTCTTTGCTCTGTCTAATTACACGTCGAGATACGTCGCATGTCGAATCGAATAACGCGAAGGCGAATTGATCGTTCGTTCCGCTTACAATTACAAGTTACAGCTTTTCAGATCAATCTTATGAACCGAACGTTTATGTAAATACAGCTCCATGTTTATGCTTTTATGTAAATGAACGATCGCGGCGAGAAATAATTACTAATTTATAAATATTCAGAGGATAAAAAGCATAACACTGAACAACTAGCTTCATAGATCAGAATTTCTGATGTCTCAACAGAGACCCGTCAAACAACTTTCAATCGCAGTCTTTGAACTTTATAGTGGAAAAAATTTGTATCGCGAGCTGAGAAAATCTTACGAAAATTCTTGACTCTCTACAGAAATTCGGAGAAGCCTTTTCTAACAATTTGTAACATTTTGCGCCGTCGACTGTTCGACGAATACGAAAGCGTTCGAAGCAAAGATGTTTCACGTCGTGGATCGAGCCTGTAAGGTAGTAGCATTCTTTAATAACCCGCGAGAGTCGCCTGTGTAATTATGAACGTCGTTCTAGATTCTAGAGGATAAGTTCAAGATTAAAAATCCGCGTGAATCACTTCAACGATATTTTACCGATCTTCTAATCAATTTTGGATTAACAATGTCGGTCTCCGTTCTTTAGACGCTTCTTAAGGTGCAGCTTTTCACTCTTACGTTAAAACAGAATGGTGTTTCGACGATGAAAAAGAAAACGCGTAGAGAAATGTTCTTAAGTGCTTACGCTACGATGATAAAGGAGAAAATAAATTTTCCTGGCCGCGAGCCACGATTACTTCGCTGAACACCGTAAACGAAGTAATCCTCTAACGCGAAAATTTTTGCCGATAATCGTCGGCCAACCAAAAACCGAATTAAACTGAACACGTTTGGACGTGACACGTGTTTCTTAGAAAAAGGAGATTTTTACTTCCAACTTTGTTCCCATTGATATTGAAACTTTAATCGATTGCAACGAAAGCTGTACGAAATGTTCCAGTAACATCCTTATCTATTCTTGAAGAAATGTTGCAAATTTTCGATGCGATTCTTTCGAAATGATTATTCTACATAAATGAATTTTTTATTTCTCTGCCTAGTTATTTAAAAACCAAGAAAGAGGCTAATTCTCGAGATACTCTGTATTGCCTATGCAATTACCTACTATACTAAATATATCAAATATTATAAATAAATACTATACTGAATAATATACTAAATATAATTGCAGATTTTGTCAATACCATTTAATGACGAAATCCGCAATCACTTGGTTGCCAACCCAATATTATGCACGCCGACGATAAGTTGCCTTATAATTTTACTTCACGCACTGTACAAATCGACTGTTTTCTACAGGCATGCGATAACACTTGGAATCTTTGTCTGGATCTATGCACTCTGCCTCTCTCTGCCACCACTATTTGGCTGGGGTAGTTACGGTCCAGAGGCAGGAAACGTGTCTTGCAGCGTGTCCTGGGAAGTCCACGACCCTCTTACCAAAAGCGACAGCTACATAGGATTCCTCTTCGTGTTTGGTCTGATCATCCCCGTTTTGGTGATCAGTAGTAGTTACGTGGCAATTATAGCGACCTTGAGAAAAGTGCGAAAGAGAGCAGGTAAGTTAGTTCCTGATCGTAATCTTTTCTAAGAACTTGCAAAATCTGATCGAGTCTGATCGAAATCTCCTCAAAACTACGGTAAAGCTTCATCTACGTAAACTTGTCGGCAGATAAGCGATTCGTACAATAGGAATTCCTCGCAGTATTTCTTTTTTATTTAATTTGTACTTTACAATTTGTCCAGCTGGACATTTGGTAATTTTTCTAACTTAATTGCTAAATAACATGTGGATGGCTACCCCCAGCGGGATACCATCTTCGAGTTGAGTTTGACTGTTTTATTTCTTACCTTGAAAATTGAACATAAGAAAATTTACTTTTTTATTATTTAATTTGTACTTTACAATTTGTCCAGCTGGACATTCGCTAATTTTTCTAACTTAATTGCTAAATAACATGTGGATGGCTACCCCCCAGCGGGATACCATCTTCGAGTTTGACTATTTTATTTCTTATCTTGAAAATTGAACATAAGAAAATTTACTTTTTTTATTATTTAATTTGTACTTTACAATTTGTCCAGATGGCCATTTGGTAAATGTTTCTAACTTAATTGCTAAATAACATGTGGATGGCTATCCCCAGCGGGATACCATCTTCGAGTTTGTCTATTTTATTTCTTTAGTCAGGTCAGTGGGGTGTTTTTTTTTTAATTTTTCGTTCAAATAAATGAGCTCGATTGACGAAAGGCTATTTAATTGAGCGCTAGATAATAAAACTTCAAATACATAAACGGACTTAATACGAACAGTGTTGTTCTATAGTTTGCCTTTTGTATTTGTGAAAGAGCCATACTTCCGTTGCTCACGTTAGCAACGCGAAAATAATTTGTTTCACAGGCGCAAGCGGAAGACGCGAGTCCAAGATCACGAAAATGGTTGCACTAATGATAACTGCCTTCCTGCTCGCCTGGTCGCCTTACGCTGCTCTTGCGATCGCCGCGCAATATTTCGACGTAAGTTGTAAATTCATATCCAAGAATATAATCTTTTAAAGTGGTCACAGTTCCATAATTTCAGGCAGAAAATTTTACAACTTCCTCTTATTACTTACATCGATCTTCTTGAATACATCTTTTCTTAGTGTTATCAGACGAACAATTTCTAATTTTGTTCTTGCAAAGTTTCGTTTAACGCGCGATGTAAAATTCAAATTTTCGTTGATAGAACTGAGATAACACGAAAACTCGCGTTACGAGGTTCTTCACCATCAAGACCAGTTTCATATTAATTCGTAAGATCGGCTGAAATTGAGAAAGCTGTATCGTTGCACGCGATACGAGATGCACCTTCCTTTGTTCGTACACCGTGAACGATTTGCATATCTATACATGTGGGGTGAAAGTATTTCGTTATAATTTCGTATTACCAGCAGGTGCCATTAACAGACACAACGCCATAACGATGCCCGTTAAATATCGTCACTCGTTTCGTATGTATTCGACGATATTTTGTATTTCAAACTGGTCTCCGAACCTAGCACTGAACATCGCCATCGACGAGAAAGTTCAAACTTGTCGTTTGAACTTTCAATCTTATAAACATAATAATTTCTTTACTTAAAAATCTTCCGTTTTTTAATATAATCACGTCCATTATAATTTATTTAGAAATCACAACGCTATTGGTAGACGATACGATACAACCGACAAAACTTATTATGCAGCTAATAGAAATCGTTGAGCGAGAGACGGTGCAACAGATTATTCTAACAAAATCTTCGATTAATTTTCTAGGCGAAGCCATCGGCATCGGTAGCTGTGCTTCCGGCGTTATTGGCCAAATCCTCCATTTGCTACAACCCCATAATCTACGCAGGTTTAAACAGCCAATTTCCCCGCTCTCTAAAGAAGATCTTCGACGTACGAATCGCGAGATCTTCGTTACCGGACAGTCAAAACACCGCGTTGACGCTGTTGAACAGACAAGAGCAAAGGAACTGAGGACCATTAACAACGCCATAAATGTCTGCAGCTATGTAGATGTTGGATGAATCGTGGAACCATCGAATATAAGTCATCTTAACAACGTGGTTCTTCCTTCTTGCCTCTTTGTTGTTTGCTTTCGCCTCTTTTCGTCCGCTGAATTTGCTTATCCGATTACGGATTCACGTACGTGAGCGGATCTTTTGTTTCTGCGATCGAATTAGTCGTGAGAACAGCGTTGAATTTTGCCGGGATACGCTAAACGTTCTTTCGTTTCGATGCGAAGATCTTAACACCTGGTGGAAGTTTCGAAGATCGCGGTGAAAAGCAAACGATACGCGTTCTTTTCTTTCGTTTTCCGGTATTTTCGTTTGCTTTTTACAGTCTTCGTGACTCTCACGCGTTGCCATGTGTTAATTGATGCGTGAACTTTTTTGGCCGCTTGGTTCCACCGATGAACGTCGCAGTGTGTCTCTCGAAGATCGTTCGTGTAATGAAACGTGCGAATAAGAAAAATTGAATTTCATCACGGTTTGGTTTCACGCAGCGTGACATTCTTTGCCGAAATCATTCGTAGCAGGTAGTTTGAATATATTTTGGCGCAGGTAAATTGCTAAAATACCGAATGAAAGAAACACCGAAGTTTTGAGTAGAGTAAGATAGAATTATTTGAGTTAGAAGGATATTCGAGTGAAGCTAAGTAATTCGCCTTGCGATTCGCCAAATCTCACAATGAACAATTTTCAAGCAAGTCACGTTTCAAGATATTCGACTTGTTAATCACGCGATAAACGAGAAGACGGATGATCGTAATGTCACCGAGAGAAACAATAAGAATCTCGATTAAACTTCATTTGTAATCTATATTGCACGCGATATATTTTAAGTCCATAAAATGACAATTGGTCGTAAATTAAAAGCAAGTGGGAGGAAAAAAGCAAAGCTTGGAGCAATGACGCAATTACGTTATCCATTAAGTATCGTAAGGATCGTAAAGCAGACGCGTTGTTATAATTTAGAAATAAAAATAACCAATAAGCAATCATATCTCTCTCTGTTCTCCATTGAAAGAGATTCTACGCTCGTAGAATAGTAATAGTTGCGCTGTTATTCTTTCTAATTCCTCTTACGAGTTCCAGTCGCGATGGAATCATTATGGATGGCTTTGCGAAGTATCTGTATTACGATTCGTAACACGTGCGATTATGGCAAGATAGCGAAAGTGAAATCGCGAGGAAAATTCAACGTCGCTAATCAAACCTTTTCTGAAGCAACCGCGTACGATGCGATTGACCCATCCAGATATGTAATTTCAAATTCAATCAGAAATTCGAATCGCAATTATATCTGCACGCTCTCCCATATCGTCGTTATTTTTCTTCAATTGTAATTATATTAAATTAAATTCAATTAAATTATAATCATGGCAAAAGAACATACAGTGGTTCGCGAAAGTAATCGAACGTTCGTAAACGTTATTTAATATCGCGTGTCACGTAAAACATTTTGAAATTTCACTGGCATCGTGAGATACGGATATGCTGATTATATCGAATTAAATTTTGAAACAAATGTAAAAACGTACGCGGAAAGTACACAAGATGTTTAATGCAAGCACACGTGTATCTTTTAGAAATTATAAAACAGCCGAATAAGCCTCGATATTCGGTAGGATCGTCTTTCACACTTATTATACGCCCAAGATGACTATCTATGCTGTATACTAATCTTTCGCTAAATACATATTTGCGGTAAATATCTCGTGGCTTCTGTACGCGTTTCCAGATTGATTTGAAATATTATTAATACAACGAAAGTAGTCGTTACAACGTTAATGAAATTCCAAAATGTTTTCTACAACGTAAAAGTTCTACATAAAAGTTTTCTGCAGTGAGTTGCGCGCCACTCTACACCTACGTAGAGTACAGTTTATGAAGACACTGCAGATGATCGAAGAAGAGAATTTTTCCCTGAAATTTTCTGAAAACGCGCGTTTCGATATTCTACGACTGAGACTACGATAGATAATCGTCGTATCGGTTGATCGTATCGTGACTATGGCAAGATAGCGAAAACAGGATTAGGATTTCCATTAATCGAGCGTGTAACGACTCGAGCGAAGAGCGAAAAGGAATGAATGGATACCGTGCGTAATCTGTCTGTGAACGTTTTCACAAGAACGATCGGTATTACGCAACGATAATTGGCCACAGTCTCGCGACTACGAAGATTCGTTCGAGACGACGAGTTGCACGCCAGCCGTGAGACAGGTTTCGAATAAAAGCAAAAGCCACGGCGAAATGGGACATTGGATCTTGGTTTTTTTATTGCCACATCCTTAGCACGTGACCGTAATACTTCATCGATGGCCAAAGAAAATCTTGGCAACTGATACACGTGCTCGTCGTTTGAGAAAGAGAAGAATAGGAATCGTGGGATTAACGAACGAGCAACTATTTGTTCCGGAAGCTTTATCGTACAGAACGATTTTACACAGAAGTTTACAAATTGTTATTTTTCTCTATTGTTTATTGCATTTCATCTTTCGATAAGAGAAACGATATTTTTTCGTGGTTGATCTTCTCTTAATTTTCTTCTCGTAACGTACAAATCCGATCGTACTGTGCAACGTTCGATGCTAAATTTTTAGCTGATTCGAATAATCCTACCCTGTGTTGAATTTTCTACGAATGAAATTCCTATCTTACAAAGTAGCTTTTATTTATCGTATCTTTAACGTATAAAGTTTCCCTCGATTTGCCATCGAAAATTAACGAATCCTTTGTATAATAAGAAACAGCTAACTGTAACTATTTTCTGAAATATATTTTTAGTATTCTTTCACGGATCGAAGGCGTAGAAACTAGATATTTTTGTAGGAAAGCGCGTTGCGAGTTAAAGAACGATCGCATCGGGCCAGTGCACAGTGCGGCATTGGAATGAGAATTGGGGAAAAATCAAAATTCGCTGGTCACATTCGTTCGCAGATCAGATACACAGGTAATCGCGTTAGATTTTGAGGTAGAAACGACTTTTACTAACTTCCGTCGATTTTTTGGGGAGAATTACTGTTCACGATTATATCGCTTACTTACAGACTGATGATATCATCGTACAATAAGATCGAAATCGAACGATTATTTCGATTCTTATCCACCGCATACCGCATTGTATGGCGTAACGATTGGAACCAGATCCGAATGCGGATGAAGCCAGAAAGAATTAAAAAATGACGGCTTCGAAAGGAGCGTTTGCGATATAAACGTTAGTCGAGGCAAGCAGCCTTTTTTTTTTTTTTTTAACATAGAGACTCGTTTTCAACGAGAAACCTGCTTCGAACAGGAGCGTCGATCCTTTACGGAAGCGAATTTTTCGAGAGTGGAAGCAAAGATAAAAGTTACAGTTAAACGCGAAAACATGCGAGAAGAGTCGAATGGAAAGAGGTAGTTGATGAGAGGAATTGATAAGTTTCTATGTTCAATCCGATAATCGTTTCGTTTTGTTAAGAAAAAATTAATCCACGTTGTTTAAAAGCGCGTAACTAAGTTACTTTATGGAAAAAGAAGCGAGTGGATGAAATAAAAGAGAAATAATTTTCCCGAACAAAAGCATCAAACTGTGGATAAATAATATTCCATATTCCCCATTAAGATATATCATCGCCGTTTTAACGAATCTTCTACGCATTTTGTATTAAATCCTCTCCTGTTCCGTCAAACGATTTATAGAAAAGTACTTGACTATTTCATAACAAATCGTCTTCAATGGAAGCAATTCGTTTTAACCGAAAGAACAGATACAATTCGCCGTTTCGACGAGACGGTCGTAAAACACGAAGAACGACCGGCAGAAAATGTCTTCGTTGTCAACGAGCCAGAATCTCTCTTGAACGAAAGAAGAAGAACGAATTTTTTCGACAGGGATACTTTCATTTCCTGACATTTAAATCTTACGTGGAACGAGTTAACCAAATCGATGGAGAAGCAATTAGGAGGGAAGAAAAGAGGCAGAAGAACGGCGAACGAATCGAACGGTGAATCTGACGTAGCTTCTGAAATCTGAGCTGTTGAAAATAGGATCCACGTTAAGAGACGCGAGTTTCTATTCTTTCGTTGAACAAGGCCATAAACTTGACAAATGAAAGGCGATTTCAGAGCAAGTGTAATTTACCGATATAAATGGCTGTGAAAGGAACTTATCGAGTGGACCACGGAAAAGATCGTACTGCGACTTGATCGATCGCTAGAAATCTAATGGTAAATTGTGGCCAATTCGATTCGATTCGATATACGATCGTCTTGTTAGTTATTTCATCACGAGAGCAAGAAATAAGAAATATTTCGTGTTTTTGGTGGGTCGATTCGGTTGGTTGAATTGTTACGGAGCAACGTGGATTGTTATCGGTCTGGAATATACAGAGAATCCAAAGTTTCATGGATTTTCCGTATATATTACGCGACCAATATACAAACACGTTATACAGTACGTCGTTTCGCGTTATTCTCTTATGCTGTTAGGTCGTACGTTTGAAGAAACGACAGATTACGCGTAGTGAGTTTGCAGACTGAAGTCAGAAATATTGGATTGACGATTACGATAAAAAGAACGATCTGGTTTCTACGATTGTTTGATTAATCTATATCACGTCTCTTCGAAGATACGACATTTATCGTTTAATTAGTCGATTAGCTCGTCTATAATACTCTGCTGAGATTTATGTTACAACGATCTATATTCTCCGAGAGCAGGTAAACCAGTTTTGCCTGTAAGATTTATCAAGTGTTGAGAATTCTCAGGTAATAAAAACATGGAGCGCGTGCTTTCAACTTGCGGCAACTCGTAACAGCTTAAAAAAGCAAGTCTCGTTGAAGAAACGTGGCGCAGCCCTACGCTTCTGTTCGAGAAGTGGTCCCAATAAAACTTTTGCTTATATAAAAGTAAATGAGAACGTAGACCATTAAAAGAGTCGAAAAGTTGATTTTCATCTTCTTCGGAGGAATAACGTGGAGTAAGAATGAAAAAGAAAAACAAGGTCGTTAGCGAGCGTGACTTTTAAGGAATTTTTCCTCATCGAATCCTTGAAATTTATGCGCACACTTTATAGCGCGCATTTTTTTATGTACGTGCGATTTAATAGCACGAAGATGTTTCTCTACTTGAGACACGCATCGATCGAGAAAGAAATCGATATGCACGGTACGTGTAATACGCGGTGGTTTCGATATGGGACGGGCCACAGTGCAGCGAACTGTTCCGATAGCAAATCGGTCGCGAACGAGTAACGGTACCGAACCAGTGAAATTTGTCCTAATTCTTTATTTCGCCACGATTCGCGAAACGCTATCTCGTGCTTGATACGTTCTATAAAATAGTTTCTTTTTTGTCGCGCATAAAAATTTCTACGTTTCATAATTTTTCATCGGAGATTTCTATGTCTCGCTCATTTAACATTCGTAATCGTTGTTTTCGATATAAAAATAAGAAAATGTACGTAAACGTAAGAAGATCGCAGGCGAACTCGTAGCGATTACACGTTCGTTTGTTCTAATGTTACTTTGCGACTAGAAAAGAATAGCTTAATATGAAAATACATTCGTCACGTTTGACAATACTATTGCTACGTTCTCGTCGTTTAAATTGAATTTTATTTGAAAACGATATCTCGCTCTGGGTTCCTATGTCTCTGTCGCTTGAATTGAACGCGGTAAAAGTATCGAGAGGTGGAATTATTTCAAAATGATATGCACCAACAGTTTCCTATGCTCTTATTTCTTGAATCGAATTTAATCAAACTTTTACCACGTCGAATTAATACCTGCGATTTCCTATATTGCTGTTGCTGCGACGTTGATAAAAAGCCTGATGATCGGTCGAAACTGCGATTAGATTAGATTAGATTAAAATAGATAAATTAGATATTCGAAATCACTTACTTCGTTTCTGCTTTGTATCTAATACGTTCTCCAAAACGGGACCAAGTATTTTACAATGCCTCGAAAGGCGATAGAAATCGTTGAAAATACGAGTTAAGGTAAATGGAAAGTAAATAAAAATATTTGAATCGCCAGTACTTGACGGTTTACTTCCGATGATATGTGAACGTTGCAATTATTTTGACCGTCTGGCACAGGTAAAAATAATTCGACCTGGTCTCGAAGAAAAGAAAATTATAAAAGAGAAACTCGAGTCCTTCGACGCTCGAAACGAGCGTCCAAGTTTCTGGGTGTCCTGGTTTATCCTCCTATCGATAAATTCGTTCGTACAAGCGTATGATATTATTATTCGCGATTATTCGTATAGCGGAACATTTCTTGTACAAATTCCAATTACACAAACGAACGCAACAAGTCAACGTGGATCTAGTTTCTTATCAATCGTGATCTTACCGACCACGATCATATTCCACGTATTTGTATCGGTTTAAAAACATGATTATGCAACTTGGAAAAACTCTAGCAATTTTTCTTTTCCACTTCAGCGTTACACGTTTCGTTTTGCAATTATACGTTGTCTCTGCTAATTTATACTTTTTATACTTTATTAATTTATACTTGTGGTTATTGCGTTAGAGATTATAAAAGGAATACAGCGTTCTTCGGTGCTAGAAACAATTTTCTTTTCTTATTGTTGGGCTTTAAAAGTTATAAATCTCAGAGGTTTGATTTCGGTTTATCGGTTGACATCGAAAAAGAATTGGAAAGTAAGAACTGTTGGATATCGTAGAAGACGGCAGTAGAATTTTATTTTAGCTTTAAAATTCGCAACCCACGGATATTTGTTTCTTTACCTTTGCCTTTAAAGAGTCAGATCTGCCTGAAGCAAATTATTAGACCGTCCGAAAAGTTTTTTTGGTTTTACAAGGAAATAATAAATGCACAATATTTTTCGTTTTATATTATTTTATCGAGTTACGTACGATCCATTTTCTTCTATCGAAATCAAAAATCAGAACGTTCGACAGATTAGGTTTCATGTTCGTACAAAGATGCGTCGTTGTAAAAAACGTGTAAGTTGTAAAGACACTTTTCGGACAACCCAATAAAAATTACAAATTACACCGTGTGACACAGTTTGACACTTGTAACGGGTAGACTATCGAACATTCCTTTCTCACAGACCCGTTATTTGCTTAATACATTCTCACCGGTCTCACACAAATCATCATATTAATTCGTCCAGTCATCGTGGTAAAAGATTGCCGTTATTCTATTGCACAATCACATTTTAAGATTTACTCGTCAAATCTTCAACTTTCACTTGTAAGTATCGTCCACTTCGTTGATATTACTCATTCATCTTCGAAGAGAATTTGTGGTCTCAAAACGGCCAGCCGTTAAATTAATCATCGTGCACTGTCGTTTAAATTGTAAAGCAACTTCTACGAGCAACTATCGAAGAAAACTTGCAGCGATTTTGTTTCGACGGTGGTTCCACAGCGACGAAAAAATAATATTCGTGATGACAGAAGCCAATTATAAACGTCGGAAATACCTGCGATATTCGTACATCAATAATATCTAGAAGCGTGGACGATCAGAGAGATGCGGTTCTGTTTGCCATCGACTTAATCTTAGAGCGTAAACGTGTTATTCTTCGAGATATTTACAATTGATAAATTGCTTCCGTTTGTCGTACAAATAGCACGTTCCATCGTCGATTATTAATGGAATAAAATGTTAAATAATCGATCAGAGGTAAGATGAAATAAAATATCGCATCGTGAAAAGAACGATGCAGAGACAAAGTTTTCTAAATTGTACATTTTAAATGGAATCGTAATTTTGATAAACGCATTTTGTTTCTCGTGTGTTTAGCGAGATATCGAATAATAATGTACGATAAATGATATTAAAACGACGATCAAAGATGAACGTTCTTGACATTTAACAAACGTTTGATACTCTAAAGTGTAACAAGATCTGGAAACGATATGAAAAACTGTTCGAAAGTATAGAAAGTATATTGGAATTAAAAGAAACTGTTTCGCCGAAGGGGTAGAATTTTATAAAGAATATCCAATTAGGATAGCAGAGCGAATCGTCGTTGTAAAATGTAACGGATATTACGTTACTATTTAATGATGGTAATAACGATTAACGAAGACGCTCCTAAACGAGCTCGGATAATCTTTCAGTAAATTGTTCTTTTATCGTGTTTATTATCGATATTCTTTATTCTCTGATATTAAATGTAAATTATAAATAAACGAAATGAGAAGATCAATGAGAAGAACTCCTATGCGCTTATACGTTGTCTTTACTAATTTATAATAAACTTGTCGTTATTCTATTGGAGATTATAAAAAAGAATACAGTGTTCTTCGGTTGATGAGAAAATTATACTGGGAACCAGCTGGTACACGAGCTATACCTAGACAAATTTTTCTTCCTTTTATTATTTAATTTGTACTTTACAATTTGTCCAGATGGACATTTGGCGAATGTTTCTAACTTAATTGCTAAATAACATGTGGATGGCTACCCCCAGCGGGATACCATCTTCGAGTTTGGCTATTTTATTTTTTACCTTGAAAATTGAACATAAAAAAATTTCTTTTTTTGAATTGTTTAATTTGTACTTTACAATTTGTCCAGCTGGACATTTGGTAAATTTTTCTAACTTAATATAAGAAAATGACACAGTATTATACGCCTACTATGTCGACGAATAAGACAATGCTCGAATATTCCAATAGTATATCAAGATGCGAAGCAATCTTTCACTTTTATTTCACTTTTCACGAATTGATAATCCTAACAGCGTGGTAAATCAAACTCTTATATTCTCTACTTTCCACTGATTAAAAAACCTTCTATCCTGCGATATCTCAATTTAAAGAATTTCCAATACCGTTTCATCCACCTCGTACGAATAATGCGAAATGGTTTGTCATTCCGTCAATCCATCAAAAGTCCATCAATCTCCGATCCTCCTCCGATCTTTTCAATCCAAAAAGTTAGCAATACCACGGTTCTGACTTGTAACGAGCAGCCCCAAATCATTTTCCCACTACCAATGGATCAACCAGCCATCACAGCAACAGAAGCAAAATTCTAATCGAACCTCCCACTTTTGCATCGACAGCATAGTATAACAAAGATGTGGAGGTAACTCACGATTGGTTTGTGTATCTCATTGTTGCTGGTTCGCGGGACATCTTTGTGAACGGGGACCATCGAAAAGCAAGAAGAAGCAAGTGCTGGTGGGAGGGAAAACTCTCTCTCTCGAGCACAGCTGATCATTAAAGCTACCGCTGGCCAGTCAAACTTTCACGCTCGGTGATATCCAAGCTTCGTGCGTCGAAACGCGTCGAGTCTCAAGGTCTGCGAAAATCGATCGACCGATTTTTTTCGCTCGAGCCCCTGCACCTGGGCCTATTAACCTCGTTTTCGCTAAATCGAAATTTAACGGAAGATAAAGGCGAGATAAATTTTCGAAATACGAAAGCAGTGAATGTGATTCGATCGACTCGCTAAACAATAAGAATCTTCGCTATAGAGCGACGTTGAAAAATCTGCCAACTTCGTTTTCGCTGAATCGAAATTCAGCCGAGTTCGTACAATACGAACAATCGCGAACGACAAGATCGACCTACGTATTTACGTACGAAACATCGAGAGTTTTTAACCTAACGCAAACTAAAAGGTGTTTATCTCGTTTTCATTGCATCGATATTTAATCAGAAATATGACCGAATGAATCTTCCACGAAATAAATTTCCGATCGAATCGACACGTCAAAGGATAAGGAACCTTCGCTGTAAAGTGACACTAAAAGGCGTAGGTATCGGGTTCCAGCGAGAAGAATCGTGAGCGAGGATATCCGAATGGAATTAATGGAAAAGTTGCATGGTGAAACTGAATCGACGAAACGTTGATTAAAAAGAACGATTTCAATTTGGCAGAAGAAACTTCTTTCGTAGAAATGGTAAGGAAAACGCGGAGGAACGAGCGCACGAGAAAGGAAGGAAACGCTGGCTGCGCGTAAATCGCAAGAAAGAAGTCGAGGACCAGCGCCACGAGGTAAGGAAAAGTGTTACGGATCGCGTCCCACGATTTTCGACGACTCGATCGAGGAGCTTCGTCGACGACCAGATACACTGTCGAGCTGTGGCAAACATCTGTGAAACAACATCATAAATATGTTCGTCATACGTCCGTCGACTCGTGAAGACTTAATCGTTAAAATTTGCTAGTGAAAAGAACGAGACTTTGATCCTCGAAGAATCTTTGCTCCTTAATTTCCTCTGTATACGTTCGAAAATAAGTCTCCTGTGAAATATGATAACTAAACTAGACTTTCAACGAGTCGATTTTGTATTTAGCACTTTGTATCTATTGGAAATTACGATTTAGTCTAACAAGGGAAGAATTTGTCGAAACTATTTGCAAGAGCCATAGAAACGTAGATTAGTTACATATAGAGTCATAGAAAGAAATGGAAAAAGAAAACCATCATTGGTCGAAAGTTAACTATCGTCGCGTGTTCCAAAGATCGTAGAAATTTGAAAAAAACGACCACTTATCGTCAGGGTCCACAGTATCGATCCTTTTAACGAAAAATCCATCGAAATCAAGAGTTACGCGTATCTAATTATTAGTCGAGACGGATGTTGCTAATTAATCAGAAAAACGCAAAAGTATTTGGACACCGTTCGATTTCCTATTAACACGGATAATATATTCGTACAAATTTTCTACATTTATCAAATGTCCAACTGGGCAAATTGTAAAGTACAAATTAAATAATAAAACAAAAATTTTCTCCGACAAATGTTCCGATAATTTCCCGTATCGCTGTAATCCATACAAATGTTCGATTCGTCGACAAATCTGTGTTCCTCGTGTCTGTACGATTGAACTTTCGATCCCTGAAACTCCCTAAAACGTACATCTCGTTGGTTGGGAAGGTTACTCGTCCATTTGAGATTCACGAAAAGGATTTAACGTCTCGTCTAATCCCGTTAAACGTGCCGTATCTCGTACGGATATCGACCTATCCGTTTTTCGCGAAGGAAAGAGAATCGTCAAAGGAAGAGCCAGAGAAAGGAACAGGAGGGAAGGAGAGTCAAGATCAGGATTTCAATCTCGAGAGATCGTATTGTCGGTCTGGAACGAGCGCTGCACTTGAAACTTGCATTATTTAGTGAAAGTTTCAGGCGTCGTTTGAATATCGTTGAAGGTTAAATTTACGTGTTCTCGCGAACGAACGAGAATTGATTAAAGATGATCGGCCGATGAATTGGATGATCTTTACTCCGAGTTTCGCGTACCGTATTTGAAACAGTGTCGTTTGTCGATCGAACCATTGTCGCGTAAGAAAGAAAATTGCCGGGACAAGCGACGAGTTTCGAATGTTTCCTTTGGCAGAAATTTTGCATATCAGAAACGAGGATAGGTAGTTTCCCTTTCTTTAAATAACAAATATTTAGGCTTAACGTTATACAGTGGATTTATTCCTATGGTTTTATCACGTTTCAATAGTTAGGTTGAAGTATCGATTAATTTATAAAGCGTTACAGCAACGCGTCGCTCGATGAAAGACAAAACGAACGTAAAAATGTTCCATTTGAAAACGTGTTTCTTTACTTTTAAATAGTGAAATTGTAATCGTACAGGCCATTGCGAAATACATCGAGTATCGTACACTGAATGGCGTAGAAAGGCAAAGATGACACAAAGAAAATGATAAAACTTGGATGTCCTTCGCATTTAAAACGGTAGACAGAACATTTGAACTAAGAAGAGCTTCCGTCCGTGTAGCCGTGTTACACGAACAAACAAATCATTTTGTGGTTTTCTGTGTTTCAGTTGCAGACCTTTAAGCCGGAATAAAGAATCACGGAAACGAACGTGATCGGTCATGCTCGGCGACTTCGTGTAAAAATGACGAGGAAATAGCAGTCTCGAGGTTTCATGGACGGGTTTGTCCGAAGAAAAGCCGTCTCCTCTCCCGTCTACTCGTCTCTCTCAGGACTATCGTCCATCGTACGATCGATGGCCGTTTCTTTTTTCTCTCGTCGACCTATCATTACAATGATAATGAAGTTGTTTTCCCAATCCTCCGGGCTTTGACGGGCCAACGTATTTAGGCGCGGTTCCACCGACGAAAAGCAGACAGACAGTGCCACACGAGCAACATCGTAGTACGCTACTTGGAAACAGGAGTTGGAAGAATTTGAGAAATTCAGTGGAGGAAAAGATAGGAATATACATGGGCAGTAATATAAAGTAGAGAACGTTGGAACGTCGGGGTTACAAGTGAGAAACTGTCATAGAAGCTCAGGCAGAACTTGCAGGAATTTATCAAACTACACGAAAGAGGAGATAGAGACGTACAGCTGAATTAACGCGAAACAGAGGACGTTGGAATGTTAAGATACGAACGAGCAGCTTTCATATAAGGAGCTTAGGCAAAACTTTGGAGAACTTGAGGAATTAGATCGAAGAGGACAAGGCATATGAAGAAGATACTTGAATGTTAAGATCGCGAGTGAGAAACTTTCTGTTCGAATAAAGGATAAAGCAATATCGAGTGGAAAATAGGAATCAACGTAGAACGAGGAACATCGAAGAATACTAACGACGCGAACGAGGAATGTTCACGGAAGAAAGTTGCAACGTTTAAGGGTGCTGCTTCGACGATGATATAGTATCCGACGTCAAAAGCTTCTTCCTCCAGTGTAAACTTGATCGGATAGACGCAGGACACGCTGGTTGAGGTGTTGTGGACGATCAAAACAGCTGAAACGCGAAAAGAGAAAAAATAAACGGTGAAAACTTAAAGATGAGCAATTCGATGGCTCCGACGATTATTTTCTTCGTTATCTTGTTAGTCTGTAATTGCACGATGGGTTACAATATCCTGCTGGCCACTATGGGTGGCACGAAGTCGCACACCGTGCCATTTGTGGCACTGGGTAGCAGTTTGAAGGCACGTGGACACAACGTGACCCTGTTGAGCGCGTTTCCGGGACCAGCTGCGAACAGCGGATTGCAAGAGTTCGTTCCGCCTATCTTCGAGGTATTCATTTCCAATTTTTACGAATAAAATATTTCACAAAAAAAAAAAAAGAAAAATTGCGATACGAAGATCGACAAGTGACAGAAATTGAGAATTCTTGAATTCGGTGTTTTCCTGCTATCTAATTATGAAAGATAAGCTGATTAGAAGTAGCTCTTAGAGAATAACGGAAGACATTTTCGAGCGCGTATTATTCCGTCTAGACGCAATTTCACCTATAGTATCAGTTCGTTGGATTATTTAATTACGGGAGTGCCGGAAGTAGCACAAGGGCGTACAAAAGGGACGGTATACGAATTGACTGGAGTTTGTAGCGTGAGCAAACAGCTGCTGGTAAATTATAGAAACCCGGGTCGAGAAGCTTGGGGAATTCGATGGTTGTAGGCCATGTACACGCAGAACCTCTTGGTTTCAATGAACCCTGTTCGTTCCACTGGGTGGAAATAAAACAAATAATTTGATACTGGTATTTTGATAATTGAAATAGAGAAGATTATTATCGAGAACGATTAAAGGTTCAAGAAAAGCAACGATACAAAATAATACGAACTAAAACGTATTTGTCAAATGGAATAAGACAATCGAGCTTCGTTCAAATTAATCAGCTGACTCAGATGCGCACTGATAAAATGGTTTCAAATTGCTTGAATCCGCGTTTTGCTTCACACCAAACGTACAAACTTCAAGCGAAGTCGAGGTTCTTCAATTACTCGCAAAAATGTCAAGTTACGTAATTATGTTCGAAGCAAACGCTTGGCTTTTGACCCGATCGCTTTGTACGAATCTCCTAAACTTGAATTTTACAAGCCTATTTTAATTCCAAATAATCTGATTAATCTACCGAAGGATTTGGTAAAGAAAATTCGGAAACCTAACTGCGTCTAAATTCGTCGCTTCGCATATCGCTAACGTTAATGACTTTATACGAATTGCGTACGTATTAAGCTTTAACTTCTCCATCTTCTAGTTAAAATGTCTCGCTAAAATGCTCGCGTTCCGTGGTTAATCGAAATAACACGTTTCCATCGAGTGGAAGAAATTTATTAAAGAAAAACGCGATAGTAGGATTGCTTTACGAGGAAGCTGGCATTTAGACTGTGTTTTATTATCGATAGGCTTATGTCGGGAATTACACGTCCGAATGGGACTTGGTTGGCGCAAGATTCCGAGATGAAATGCCTATCTCTCCGTGGGACGCAATGCGATATGCCTGGGAGGCATGCGAGGCGCTTCTTCGCGACGAAATCTCCGTATCTTGGCTGAGAAGACCCGAAGGCAATTCTCAGACGCGATGGGACGTCGCGGTCGTCGACGGAGCCTTCCCCGAGTGCCTTCTAGGAGTTCTTCATGGCGAGGATGTGCCCACTATCATGCTGAATACCGTAACTATTTTAAATACGCTGTAAAGACAGGCCATTCGCTAGCAAACATATTTGCCAATAGCGTTCGCGAATAACAAGTCTGTAATGGCCGAGACCTAAAAAAGTATTTCATTGTGTACATGATCTTTAGTCTGGATTAAAATTTTGAATAATTTTGGATAAATTAATTTTGAATAAGAGCGTAATAATGGGTGCAGGAGTAGACATTTGAAAGAATATTTTAAAGCAAATAAATAACAGCAAAATAGATGAAGGAGTTTCGAGAAAACTAGTTCACCGCACCTTTCTCAATGTCTCGATTACTCGTAGCGAAAGAACTGAAGAAAAATGTCGATATAGGTGGCACTATACAGCGGATCCATAAGTCGCCAAGGGAACCCATCGCCATGGTCCGTCACGCCTTACTTTGGCAAATCCCTGACCCAGGACATGAACTTCTTTCAAAGGGTTCTAAACGTAGCCTGTCTCGTCACCTTGAGAATAATGCACTGGATTATGGTCAGCGGGTACCTTCAATCGGTTCTGAGAAAGTACCTAGGTACGTACATCTTTTATCCGCGATCGGTTTCATCGACGACGATCTGCTTTTTCTCGAACAATCTCGTTTCATCTTCGCTGCTTCAGGGAACCAGTTACCAGACGTGCGAGATCTGACCACGGAGATTCCTCTGACGTTGCAGAACAGTCATTACAGCGTGGCGGAGTCGGTGCCGTATTTAGCGAACGTGGTGAACGTCGCGTGTCTGCATTGCAAGCCGGCGACAAAGCTTAGTCCCGACTTGGAGAGCTTCTTGCAACGCGGTGAGTCGATATCCTAAGTCAACTCGCGTCGTTAACGGGAAATTACGCTCGCTTGTTGGGCCAAGGTTCGTCGATTGGTCGGAGAAAGTGGAGATGATGGAGCTGCGTCAAAGGATATTGAACATTTCTCTCGTAGCATGGGAAAGATGCAAACTCGCGCGATGTAGAATTTACATGCTCGCTGTAGCGAAGATCGAATTGCCGTAGGAATGTAACGCTAGAACCACCGACCAGATTAAAATACACAACTTGTTCCAAAGAGATAGAAAAGGAAGATACGGAGAACCAATTGTTATCCTGTATTTTACGAAGAATCGTTCGAAATTATTATAAAAATTCACATATCGGTCATTTCAATGGAACTGCTAGCTTTAATGTTAAAATAGCCTTGATACGTCAAAAATGTCTAATCTGTCTTTCTGTCATAACGATCCATTACCTTTTTGTACTAGCTTATCGTACAATGGATCATTTTCAGGCCAAGTCGAAAGACTGAAAGTAGTTCGTCACGATAACCGTGAAACATGGCCGTAGGTTTCATATTCGTATCTATGGGTTCGTCGGTTCGAGCATCAGGAATGCCAGAGGCACTTCGTCAAATTTTCGTGGCAGCCTTCGCCACGCTTCCGTACAACGTCGTGTGGAAATGGGAAGGTATGAAGATCAAAGATCTGCCGTCGAACGTCAGAACGGCGGCATGGTGGCCTCAGCAAGAGCTGTTAGGCCATCCGAAGCTACAAGCGTTCGTCTCACACGGAGGACTTTTGTCTTTGCACGAGGCTGCTTATCACGCCGCCCCGACCCTCGTTTTGCCTGTTTTCTGCGATCACGATGGAAACGCGGCACAAGCTGGTAAAATATCGACGCTTCGCCTTTTATCTTATTGTTTCGTTAACTCTTTGCACTTGGAATATCGATCTGTCTATGCTTGTGTTTCTTTAAACGAACGAAGAATATACTCTGGCATCTTTGATCTCTGTTTAATATATTTGAATTTTTTAACATTTTCTACGATATTTCTTACATTATACAATTATCGTAAGCGCGTGTCTAATTCTATCACAGAGAATTGTTTTCCATTAAGTCGTGGAACCTTGGCAAAGACCATGAATATCGATAAATGAAATAAATTAATAATAACTTTAGAAATATATAAAACTGAAGGAATTGGATGACTTGGAAGAACTTCCACTAAGCGTACGATCTTCCAAGGAATATTTTCAATCCTTTTGCATTACAGAAAAACTGGGTTACGTTCTGGTGATGGACTTGGCTAGGATATCCATCGGAAGCTTTCGTGATGGGATTCTCAAGGTGGCTACCATACACAACAATTCGTACCGAATAGCAGCGAAGAAGAGAAGCTCGTTGCTACGGGAGTTGCCAATTAACCCCAGAAAACTGGCTACTTGGTGGGTAGAACACGTTGCCAAGTACAAAGGAGCTGAGCATTTAAAAAGTTCTACAAGGTACGTCGAAGCCTTTCTAAGAATTTCTCTTTTAGGTCTTAATCCCTAAGAAATTGTTTAATGGAATTAATTTGTTTTAGATATATGAATGTTATTCACTATTATTCCATCGATGTGGCAATGTTTTACGCGATAGCGTTATTACTATCGGTATACGGATTGAAGAAATTGTGTTGGAGAACTATTTCCAAACAAATTGTCAGGAAGAAAATCGACTAGACTGTGAATAGTGTCAATTTCGTTTTCTGTGAAATTATCATGTATTTATTTAATATGTTTAGTACCTTTTAATACCGTTTATGGATATTTTAGCGATTTTTGATATTGCCTATATAAATATCTTACGATTAGATTTAAAATATTTTCTTAAAAATCTAAACATTTCTATCCTCTTTACTGTGCTTGAATTAATATGTAATATAGTAAAATAAGCTCTATTTAGATGAAAGAAGAAATAATTAAAAGTAAAAAATAGTGATTATTCAGAAAATGATAATATCGACGTATAACAGGTTTCTACGTTAACTACTATCGATGTAGCGGACCGAATGTATCTTTGAAATCTCACGGAATGATGCAATGTAGTTTACATTGCACATGCAATTTGCACATTGCAATTTGCAAAGTCTATGGTTTAAACTAGAAGCGCGAAAATATATTGAAACAATCTTTTTGAGACTATATGCAATTCATAAAACTATAAACATCCGGTTGTTCGGCAATTGAATAAAAGCGAACTTGTTTACAAACATTCGAATCAAAAGCTATTCTGACATGTTATATGTATATTGCCTGCATAACCACTCTCCGATGTAAATAAGAGAAACCAGATATATATCATGAACATTGATATAAATCACTTCTGACAAGATGTTTTTGCTTATGCAACCTTCAACAAGATAAATAAAAAATAGTACTCGCTTCAAAACAAAGACTCAACGATAAGATGTCTTTTTTACGTAGATATCTACTCTTATGCAACCTTCAACGGGATAAATAAAAAACAGTATTCGTTGCTTCGGAACAAAGACTCAATAATAAATATTCTTGAAAACAAGTTTCTACCGATACATGCGCTGCTACATATGTAAACTGGCTGAACACATTCCCATTTTTCCCTCTACATGGAAGAATTCCTGTATGCTTTACCCGTCGTAACTACTCGTCCTAACTTATCGCGTCTGGCCTCTATTATTGGGTGTTCTGACAGCGCTTCCAATCATTCGGACAAGTATCGTTTCTCATCGGGAACGACAGTTCAGGAAATGGTTGAAACCTACGTCGCACTTTTAAACACTTTAGACTAAGTGCAGATACACCTACATGCTATTCGATTCTGTAGGTTTATACATAAACGATGTAATGCACATGAGTGCGAGATCTCATTCTTCAAAATATAAAGATATCGAATTGCGTAGCGTCACCGATGATAAATCGCAACGACGTCATATCGTAAACTCGCTGTGTCAGGCCTTACGTCCCAAATGTTTGTGAATATATAAACGTCTACGGATATTGACGGAAGCAAGATAGCAAGACGGGGAAGGGGGCATGCACGTGGCTAGTGGCGAAGTATGGTACTGACGTTAGTTAAGGAGTCTTTACGAACGGCGGCGCACGAGTCGGATTCCCGCCGCGACACGAGCAGAGTACTCGTGTTTTCACGACGCTTCTACGTCCGTGACCCGTGGCGAAGTCGGCGCTCGATCACGATTGGATCAGTACCAGCTGATTCGTTCGTCAGAATGTTGGTGTACGTTTTGTTATTACGTTTCTGAGGGCTGCCTCTAACCGAGTGTTCTCTCGTCGTCAATCGCGAATCGGTCCGTGTGTGCGGAGACGATACGAGAGTGGCGGGCCAGAGTGCAAATTCCGGGGCACGCGAGTAGAGCCAAAAGGTAAATGCCAAATATGGGATACAACGTAACGTGTGTGTATGTGCGAGATGGTAGTGAGGATCGTGGTGTTTTGAAAGGACACGTCTAACCACGTGGAACGTGGTGCCAGTTTGTAGCGTGACTCGACAATTTGTTCGTGAGACGAAAAATATATTAAACGTGCATGCTTGAGAAAAGTGAGGAGGTAACAGTCTATGAGAGGAGGCGAGAAACAAAAGAGGGCACTTGAGACGATGTCGCGAAAGAAGAGAGAACAGAGACGGGAGAGAAAAGAGAGAGAGAGAGGCAGAGAAAGAGACAGAGAGAGAGAGAGAGAGAAACAGGCGAGGCAAAGATAGAATAAAGACACGAAGAAGAGAGTCGAGGCAGAGAGTTGACTGTTGTTCGTTCAGTGAAAACACGTGGGGAGCGAGCGGGAGTTTCGCCGTGATCGACGAACGTTGTTTCATAGCCCATAGTAAATGAAAGTTCTTCTCGTTAAATGGATGAATCCCTCGTGTCGTATCTTGACGATCGATCGTTCCTCGGCACTTGGCGAAGGTGCACGAGAAACGGTGGAAAACGGCATCCTGTTAGACGAATATGCGCGAACGGTAAACGATGCTGCGCATATGAGCATGTAGAGTGTTCACATGGTGGCGGTAGGTGGGTAGCTGGATATCTGGTTTCTCACTCGCGGCTTCTGGGGCCTGTTGGTCACCGGAAAACAAACGGTCGAGGTCGGGGCCGAAGTCCTCCATGCAAAATGCCGCATACTAAATACGCGCAACAACCGATGCAACAAACAAATGTTCTATGCAGTATGGGCATCATCGTGTGTGTTGTGTGTCTGTTGGGACGCTTTTACCCTCTTGCGCTTGCCTCTGGCGCGTGACGTAATCCATTCAAGCGCTTACTACGCAATACGGGACGCGGGC